TCAGGCCAGATGCGACCGCTATCATGGCAGCACAACGTCTACCGGCTTCCTCGTAAGCTCCCAGCAAAGCAAGTAAGCAATAAGATTCTGGTGGCGGCACGCACTTTCCTCAAACGCTCAAAGATTCCTCTGCTGCAGCGTCTGGCTGAACATGCGCGTGCGCGCATGTTCTCAGCTCGCTCAAAGATTCCCCTGCTTCGGCGTCTAGCTGAATATGAGCACGCTCATATTCTCAGCTCGCTCTGCCTAAACAAACACGGGCCCCAGCGGACGCAGCCTGGCTGAGCGACCGTGCGAGAAGCCTCTCACTCATGCTCTCAGGCCCGCGCAGTACGTCCTGCTATCCCAATCGCAGGCCCGCTTTTTGGGGATTATGCACGCGAGCAAGCGCCGTGCTCAACAGCATCCCTCCCGGGATCAATCAATAAACATGCTTAAATCTAATAAGTCTAACGGCATTTTCCTCATGGGTCTCTCCAAGGTGAAATATTTTTATGTCTTAGGGACCAGGGGCCTAAAGATTCTGAGAGTCCTCTCTGAGAGCTCCTAACTTAACCTAAAAACTCCTCGCTAGGAGTCCTAATGGTCTGTTCAGACCGTACGCTTTTCGGGCGTCAAAAACGCGTTCCTACGACTTGTGCTTACTGTTGTTTACTGTATAATGTGAATATAGGCCTTTTTTTTTCAACCTTTTTTGAGCCAAGGCACACTTTTTTCATTGAAAAATCTCTGTAGCCTACATTCACAATATAAAGTCATTCTTAACAAAGTGCTTAAATCCAGGCTTTGACATTAAGCTTTGTTTAATATTTCTCAATACAATATGTTAACAAGAGTTTGAGAATAAAGTGGAACTATCACATCTTGTTTGCGCTGGTTTCACAGAGAAATGGCTCTTAATATTCTCACCAACATTACTCAATTTAGCAGCATTTTCGTTCGCTGCTGCGGAGGCAATCGCAGCTGAGAATTCATGGACAGGTAAACGAGAGAAGGAGTTCTTTTGTTTTTTTTGTTTTTTATTGGCATATACCATATATTAGGGAAGGCAAGGCAAGTTTATTTATATAGCACAATTCATACACAAGGCAATTCAAAGTGCTGAACAAAACAAGAGAGCATTAAAATCATAAATAATCACAGAACATTAAAAAGAAAGATACAAATATACAATCCCTCAGTTGTATGCACAGTTAAACAGTACTGTCTTTAACCTGGTTTTAAACATTGTCGGAGAGGAGGCCTGTCTCACATCTTCAGGAAGACTGTTCCAGATTTTAGCAGCAGGAATCTGAAAAGCAGCCTCCCCATGTTTAGTTCTGACTCTGGGCACTAACAGGAGTCCAGTCCCTGTGCTCCTCAGAGTCCGGGCTGGTTCATATGGGACTAACATGTCACTAATATATTTTGGTGCGAGGCCATGGAGAGACTTGTACACAAGCAGAGCTGTTTTAAAGTCTATTCTCTGAGCCACAGGAAGCCAGTGCAGAGACCTGAGAACTGGACTAATGTGGTCGTACTTCCTGGTTCTAGTCAGGACTCGAGCTGCTGCATTTTGAATGTACTGCAGCTGTTTTACAGCCTGTTTGGACAGACCTGTGAGCAGGCCATTGCAGTAGTCTCACATACTGGAGACAAATGCATGGATAAGAATCTCCAAGTCTGCTTTAGACACTATGTTTTTGATCCTGGCAATGTTTTTTAGATGGTAAAAAGCTGCTGATGTTACTGATTTGATGTGGCTATTAAAATTACAATTAAAATATTACAGCACAGACATTATAGACCTATTTGTACATTTAGACATGAACCTACATAAACATATAATCATTTACATTATAGGGAGAAGGGGTTCTTTGATGAAAAATATATACACAAGTGTAAAGGTGCTAGTGGTACGTGGATCACCCTTTAGTGGTACGCCAAAAAATCACTGACATTTTATTTTTTATTTAACCAGGAAAGTTCCATTGAGATTGACGTCATTGACATAATACGACGTCAATTGACGTCAACATTGTTTTTCCTGTCCGTCTGTGTCCCCTGTCTAGAGTTTGGCTGTAGACAGTATTTTATTAAGCCAGCAGGGGGCAACATAACTCTGTGTCTTGGTCAAAGATCACTGTCTGAGCACTCTGAGCAGGAGAGACAGAAGTGAAGCAGACATGGAGTTATATAGTCAGGGTCAGGCTACATTTGGAGGCAGTTTGAGCAGAACTGACAAATACCATGCGGAGAGTCAGAGCAGCAGACCATGTGGAGGGTCAGAGCAGCAGACCATGTGGAGGGTCAGAGCAGCAGACCATGTGGAGGGTCAGAGCAGCAGCAGACCATGTGGAGGGTCAGAGCAGCAGCAGACCATGTGGAGGGTCAGAGCAGCAGCAGACCATGTGGAGGGTCAGAGCAGCAGACCATGTGGAGGGTCAGAGCAGCAGACCATGTGGAGGGTCAGGGCAGCAGACCATGTGGAGGGTCAGAGCAGCAGACCATGTGGAGGGTCAGGGCAGCAGACCATGTGGAGGGTCAGGGCAGCAGACCAGCGGTGCACCCCAAAAACGCCACAGAAAAGTGGACTATTGCTAAAACTATCACTATCACCGCACCAGGAGCCAATAGGAGCCAATAGGATAAAAATATCCTATTTTTAAGGATATTTGCATACATTAAAAATAGTCATATAATAAAACATTTATTAACCTTGCTTGCTCGGTCTGTACAGAGAAATATCAGACCTTGGCCTTTTTGCACAGGCCTCGCCACGGCTCGGTCTGTACATTAAGGCTGCGGTCTGATATTTCCCCATACAGACCTCGCCCTCGGCTAATAAGCCGTTAGTACATGCTGCTGTCGGTTTGTGATGTAACTTTTGAGCCATGTGCAGGACGGCCCCCTGATGCCATATCTCTGCAGTATTAACAGGAACAGTTCATGATTAATGGTATTAAAGGCTTTGCGTAGATCGATGAATACCCCCACAGAATATTCCTTTTTTTCTGTTGGATCAAGAATTTTTTCAACCAGCTCCGTCAGTGCCAATCCAGTTGATCGCTGTGTTCTAAATCCAATTTTTATTTTTTGCCATAATTGTATGTTTATCTAAAAAATGAGTTCATTTTTGTACAAATTCTTTCTGTGATAACCCCAGTTTGTAAGGATAAATTGCAAATGAAAGTTAGTGGTTTGGCGATGCAGTAAATGTTAAAAAAAAAACAAAAAACAAAAAACAGCAGATAGACTGCAGGTTTGAAACAGACAGAAAGCTGCTTTGCTCATGTTCAGTTCTTGTCCTGTAAAACTATTTCTCTTCTGCTGACTTTAAAAGATAGTTAAGTTATAACAAGTAATAATTATAAGTCTGTTCTAAACCTACTTCTCTGTTTTAGATCTCACTGGGTGTGCAGCAGGTAAAGGTTTCAGACTTCACACTACTCCCAGGCCAGGCCTATACCAGTCATCTGCAAAGATGGATGTGTTTGTCAATGCAATAAAAAATAATATTAACTGATCTAAAAGATATTTTTGTTACTTTGTATTTTAAACTTCAAACTTTTCTGTATCATTGTAAATTTATGTTACTAAAATAGAATTGAAGCATTGCATTGTGAGGGTTCTTTTTACAGAACACATGGCTAGGTCGGAAAGGGCGTTTTCAGAAGTTTTTAATTAAAAACTCTCAGTAGAAAAAACAGTGAAAAATTACAAAACACGTGTTTACAGAGCACAGTGAAAAGTCTTCAGGCGAAAAGGATATTTACAAATAAAAATATACACGACTTTTGCAATAAGTCTCTTTTCCCTATACTTTCCACTCAAGCTCCTGCAGTCCACATTACCTTCTCTGTAATGAGTCACACCTCAAATGGGGCAGACAAGCACACCTTTTGTACCCTGCTGGCCCCTCCCACATTACAAATCAATTATCCTAATATTACATCATATCTACAATACATGAGTATTTCCCAAGGTTAATGATTTCATATTACAGTTCCACATTGACACATTTATCATAGAATACATTGAGTTACACACTACAAAGAGTCCAAATGTCCATGCAAATGAGCTGTGGTCCACATGACCCACAGACAGGTGCATTTAATCGTATGGCTCCTTGTGTCCGGGTTTGCCAAAACGCACCATGGAGACGCCACAACCACGCCAGCACAGGCGAGTGAATGACACATGTAACTAGATGCAACTGCCCCACGTGTGCACCCTGAAGACGCGTTACCGCACGCTACATGTCACGGGCGACAGTAGCTCAGTTGGTAGAGCATTGGCCTTAAGCCCAGAAGGTCGTGGGTTCATTTCCCACCTCTGCACCTTCTCCACCGACTCCCACTGATGACTGCTGTCGTTGTGTCCTTGGGCAAGACACTTAACCCCACTTTGCCCAAAGCCCCCACTGAAAGATCAAGGCTATGCTCACACTCAGAGAGCAGCCGTCCTCCTGTGGACTCACCACCTGCAGAGGGTCAGTGAGGGGCTGGTGCTATGAGACTTGGGTGGCATCTCTGACTGTCACCCCCCTGACCCAGAAATGGATTAAAGGGTAGAAAATGGATGGATGGATGGATGTTTATTTATAGATTTTTGTGTGTATCTATTTGAGTATTAATGTTTGTATTTGATAACGAGAATGTGTAACAGGAACTGATAATCAGTGTGACTTATCCTTGAACAAAATGCAACTATTACGCATATAATGAGTTTGATTATGTATTTATTTATTATTATATTATTATAATATAATATAATAATATGGCACATATCCCTTTTGACCTTCTAAAGTCCCGATGAAGTCCTATCTTGAACCACATTTTGAGTTCAGTTAATTTAAAAACTCACATGTTTTGTTTTGAGCACCAGGGGGCGCTGTGTCCGGTTGCTAAGCTGCACGGAGCAGTCACAACCGTTAAAAAGTGACATACGAAGCTTTTCTAACCACCAAATATTCATTCTAACCAACAGAAAACAAAACTTTACAACCTTCCCGAAGGTAGACCGCACCCGGGACTCGCAGGTAAATCCCACCGTGTACTTTTATATATAAATAAGAGCTGGTAATTGTAATATAAGTTATCTAAATAGCGAACAAAACCCTAGAGCTGCTGCACAGCGCGGGGGTCGCGTAAACGTAAACATGGGCAGACTCGCTTTGACAGCAGATGAATTACATGTTCCTAAGTAAGTAATAAGTAATCTTTATTTATATACCGCCTTTTCACTGCAGATCTGAGTCTCAAAGCGGTTTACAATTGTTAATTTTGGGCATTTGTCTCTCACTCCACACAGAGATGGGAGCGGGGTCGCCGAACAGGAGGCGCATGCCAGAACTATTGGACATATTTTTAGTGGTAGGGGAAACCGGAGTACCCGGAGGAAACCTACGCAGACACGGGGAGAACATGCAAACTCCACTCAGAAAGGCCCTGACCTTCTTGCTGAGAGGCGAGAGTGCTATCCACTCAGCCTCCGTGCCGCTCCTACACGATTAACCGCGTGTATTTGTTTAGCTGTAGTAAACTGTCTTTTGGCTTGATAGGCTCAGCTAGTTTACAAATAGAATGCATTTTAATATAATGTAAGAAGCTTGATTTAACGCTATCTATCTAAAGTAATGCAGAGATTCTTCACCTAGCGTTAGCCTTACTAGTTAGCTTGATTCATTGTTTAGCTAACTTTGTTTACGTATCTTCATAAGTAAATGCACGTACCCAGTTTATTTTCCCCGTGAGCAGAGGCCTTTTTGTTTCTTCCCTGATGGTGTAACTTTGTCCAGATTCAAGATGGCGGCTGTTGGCTCCACAAACATCTCATGGAGGCTGCGTGAGTACATTTATTAACAATGTGGCATCTTATTGGTCATTCCTTATCCGTCCCTTATTCATATTCGGAATTACAAAGACAATTCCCTATCATGGAATAGTTTCTGCCAGCCCTACTCGGCTCTACTCTACTCGGTTCTGCCCTTCTCTACCTGGTTGTATTTCTATTCATTTTCAGTGTCTGTGTGGCTAATATGTGTATTTTTATTGTGCTAGAGTTTTCAGGGCAGTTTATGGACTTATCATTTTGACTCAAAGTTTTAGTGGCGACCTGTTTATTGTCAAATTAGATGAAGGTGAATGAGTCTTGGAAGCTAACGGTTAAGCTAAACACCTCGTCATTAAATAATGTTGTGACCAGTTAAAACATTCGTCTATCTGCTACATTACAACATGAAAACCTGCAGCCTATATGTGGACAATAATGATTTTCTTTTCAAATTAAGGTGGTGCGGATTATATATAAGTGCGCCTTATAGTCCAGAAAGTACGATACATACATCTGTGTCTGTTGTTTTGTACCATGCAAGTGTGTGTTTGTGTAGGTTTTTTGAAATACAATCCAATTGAACTTTTTTTCAGGAGAGTTCGAGGCGCACACCAGCAGCGTGTCGTGTCTCTCTCTAGGGAAACGTTCCGGTCGTCTCCTGGCCACCGGAGGAGAGGACTGCAGGGTGAACATCTGGGCGGTCAGGAAAGCCAACTTAATCATGGTATAATGCCTCAGTCTCACACAGCACCTTGAGCACCACGTTACTGGGACTCGCTAAGATCTTGGTATTGGTTGAGTGAGGGTGGTTATCTTTTTCACTTTTCTGTCTGAAAAAGAGGCCAAGCATACATGCCAACTGTTTTGAGACCCAAAAATCAGTTTGATTTCATCATATACATATTTTGTGGTTTGAAATTTAGGTGTCCCAGCTTTTATTGATCAAGTTCTTGTCATGATTGTATAAATATTTTTCCTTTCGTTCAGAGTTTGACGGGAAGCAAGAGTCCGGTGGAGTGTGTGCAGTTGAACACCACGGAGGATAAGGTGGTGGTCGGGTCCAAGTCCGGATCCATTAATATATGGGACCTGGAGAGCGCCAAACGTGAGTCGAGTATCTGTAAAGCAGCCCTAAACAATCCCCTCTATTGCATTAGATTAATCGTCATAGTTCACCCATTAACATTGATCAGCATTTTAGTTTTTAATGCAGATTTGTCAGAACCCAGAAAAAAGAGGGTTATGATTTTTGTCAATAAACTTTGGCTGGTCTTCCCAATCACATTAAGTACAATCAATACACAGTTGTTTTATAGACAGTTAGATAAATACTTTATTCATCCCATGAGGGGGAATTTGTCCAGCTGTATGTGGTACAAATGGCATTGGTCTCTTCTCGGTCTCTGATTGGAATAGATGAACCAGATCTGTTTCTGTCTCCAGTTTCACGCACTTTAATGGGACACAAAGCAAACATCACCAGTCTGGGCTGTCACCCGTTCTCAGACAACTACCTGGCCTCTAGTTCTTTAGACGCCAACATTATGGTGAGGAGAGGTGCTTCGACACATTTATGACATAATGATATGAACGTGACCAATATTATGGACTTAATTTACATTTATCTGCTATTCCAGCTTTGGGACGTCCGGAAGAAAGGGTACATTTTCAGATATCAGGTCTGTACAGTATTTGTATTGAACAGTAATTGGCCTCTATACTTGTTGGCATCTTTTCTGTGTCCTATTAAATTTAATGAACAAAATTGCTGTGTTAAGATTAAGAGATCTTTTATTCCTCCCACAGTGGGGAAATTTCAGAAAGCAAAAGTATTGACTAAAAACAAAATCTTTGGTTAATTTGCATTCTCATTTAATTTTGCAATTTTGTTTTTATACTTCGAATGATGATTCGCAATGTTTCAACTAATCCTGTGTGCAAAAAAGGGGCTAGGAAAATCTGTGTTTGTTTTGGCGTATGAAAGTCCAAACAAAAATATAAACGCATAAATGATAAAGTATTACTCTTTAGAAAGCTTTATTTTCAACCAATCAAAGTGTAATGTGTATGAAAACTAGACAGAAGACAGGAGAGGACCAGTATAACACTAGGAGAAGGACAGGAGAGGACCAGTATAACACTAGGAGAAAGACAGGAGAGGACCAGTATAACACTAAGAGAAAGACAGGAGAGGACCAGTACAACACTAAGAGAAAGACAGGAGAGGACCAGTATAACACTAGGAGAAAGACAGGAGAGGACCAGTACAACACTAGGGGAGGATTGATTGAAAAATGAGAGATGGGATCTCCCTTAGACTACTGGTACTTATTAATCAAACAACTAGATTTTGTATGTACTGTTTCCAACCATAGACTGTTCCAACAGGCCATTCCTTTAAGGGACAGTTAATATGATGGTTTTTTGGCAGTTTTATATCCTTTAGATGAAGTGAAAGCAGTTGTTGCTGAACCATGAATGTGGATTGTGCTGTTGTCCTCAGGGTCACTCTGACACTGTGAGGAGTCTGGCCTTCAGTCCTGATGGGAGGTGGTTGGCTTCAGCGGGTGACAACTGTGTAGTGCAGGTCAGTGTTGGGGAAGTTACTTTTAAAAAGTCACTTCTCTCGCTACTTCTTTTAAAAAGTAACCTGTTACTTTACTTCTTTAGAGAGTAACTAAGTTACTTTACTCGTTTCTACCAATAACGTTACTTGTTACTTTTGTGTTACTGTTATTATGCTCGAGCAGAACTGTTCTTAAACTTGTTGTGGAAGTTATACCATGAAGATCATACCAGATATTTCTTTCATGTTGTTTATGATCTAAAACACCACAGAGCATGTAACATGTTGGTATCATGAACAGCTCTCACTCGGGGGAATCTGTTTAGGATCTAACCTCAGGATGAAGAGCAGCTGAGAATAAACAAAGAAGTTTCCGCTCACAGTTCTTTTGACGAGGAGGAAGACGCAGCGTCCTTTAGCACAGACGCTGAGTATGTGAGATCAGGCTCAGAGTTCAAAGTGCAACACTCTGCGATGAGCAGCGCTACCACTAGCAGCATCTCGCGTCACATACTGTGGAATGTGGAATCTCTCTCCTATCCTCTTCTCTCTCCTCTCTTTCCTCTCTCTTCTCTCTCCTCTTCTCTCTCTCCTCTCCTCACCTGCTCTCCAACTGAAATAGAATTCTATAGCAGACATTAATTGGTCAAACATCAATGTTCTGAAACTCTTAACAGATTTCACAGTAAATAGTTTATAGAAAATCATCTATATAACTGCATATCTTCACAAATCAAATGTAATGTGTAATAGAACCCATTATTATATATTTGCCCAACTCGTGCCAAAAGTGTTGCCAGTTTGTCTTCTGTATGTTTTAGTGGCTCAGAGAGCTTAAGAATGATGGAGAAAAATGTTAATCGGATTAAAAGCATGCAGCATACTCTGGAAATGGCACTTACAGAGCTCCTGTTTCTTTTGGGAGATATCACTGTGAGCGTAGTGTAGTCTGTTTCCTTGATTTAGAATAAATACATTCAAATACAAACTAATATCACTACATACTATTGTACATGCCAAACAGAAAGAAAAAAAATCCACATAAGTGAAATCCGTAGCAGCTGGTAGGTTTTAAGGCTGTAAAACCCCTCACCCACACTTTAGGCAAGGCAAGGCAAGGCAAGTTTATTTGTATAGCACAATTCATACACAAGGCAACTCAAAGTGCTGAACAAGATAGCATTAAAATCATAAATAATCACAGAACATTAAAAAGAAAGATAAAAATATAAAATCTCATCAGTTGTATGCACAGCTAAACACTGACAACATACACTCCTCCTCCTCCACACTGACAACAACAAAATACTCTTCACCTCCTCTTCCACACACTCTGACCACAACAAAAACACTCCAGCTAGCTAAAGCTAGACATACAGTGTGTTTGCTAATGCTTTTAAAAATATGTTTTTGATGTGGATATTCGGACTAAACATTGGCAATAGCAGCGCTCACACACCTGTCACACCGCTGATCCTCCTCCTCCTCCTCTGCTCACACAAAGGGGTCTGCTCCTCTGCTCACACCTGTCTCACTGCTCCTCCTCCGCGAGTATCCATCTCTCCTACACTGCGATCATTCCCGTTACTTTCTTTGTATCTCACTCAGACACTGCTAAAGTTATCTGACAGTTTTTTCGGAGGACCCGTTGCATACATAGCTGCCCGCGCGCCTGCCTGTTTACAAATCGCTTTTGGTGAAAATTTGACTTTACTTGTAAAAATGTTCTTTTGATCAAACGAAATCAAAGAGGTCCAGAGAAAGGGGTTTAGGGTTCCAAATTTGGAGTGCAGTCTGCCCTTTGGGGACCCTTGAACTAGTGTATTTATAAAATAAAATAAAAGGAAGGAAGATTGCGAGGCCCCTGTGTGGTGCGAGGCCCTGTGCGACGGCACAGGTCGCACAGCCCTTAGGACGGGCCTGCGGACCGTCCGGGTCACGGGACATCATGTCATTTTGGTGGGGACTTTTTAGTCCTCACCAAATATTGGTGGGGACATGTCCCCATGGTCCCCACGCAAACCTACGCCCTTGCTAATAACAATAATGACAATAAAACAACACCAGCAGCTACATGACTTCTCTTCATGACAGAGACAGACCCTCTGCTGCTGCTGCTCCTCGTCTCCTGATTGGTTGAAGCCCGCGTCAAAGCTTCAAAAGCTCAGCTTTGCTCAACTTCGGCGTCAAAGGGATTGTTGTGATACGCGAGCGTTTCGCGCGTCAAAAGCTTCAAGTGAGCGCGTAGTACGCGCGACTCTTGAAGCTTTTGACGCGCGTCAAGTGACGCCGGGGCTCTCGGCTTCACCTGACGCGCTTCACCATTCACTTTCAATGGAAACCTGACGCTTTTGACGCCGAAGTTAAGTCCGGTGTGAACGCCCCTTAAGATTGAATAGTGAAAATAATACAGTGAAATAAGTGAAGTGTAAATAATTAGCATTAGAATAAAAGTATAGAGTAAGAAAAGTGAAATTAGCTTCAAATTTGAGACTCAGCTCGTTTTTGTCTGTGTTTTGACTGAATCTGCTGAGTTCTACTGTGTCCAATAGAGTTTGTTTTTGTTTGTTTTTATTTTTTGATTTGTTTTGATTTGTTTTTTTGTTTATTTATTTACTTTGTTAGAAAATGTTAGGCAACAAGCTGAACAAGCAAACCAAACGGACTGCATAATATGTCAAACAGCTAGACCAAAATTAATGTTAACTCACTAACTAGAACAAAATTTAGAGAGAGAGAGAGAGATAGGAGTTAGTTTTTCAGCTGGGGAAGAGAAAGTTGAATAAGAGGGGAAAAAATACATTGGGAAGAGATTTTACAAGAACGAGTTGAGTATGTGTGAACAAAGTCTAAAAAATTAGCAAGAATTATAGAAAAGTTTAACACCAGGTTTAGAAAACTTGTTTTAAAAAAAATATATATATTGTATTTTTTAACAGTCATATAATCTGATGATTACAAACTAATATAATCAACAGAGAGGTAGCGACTTGCGCCTCTACATTAAATATTGATTTGTGATCACATGTGGATGTGATCAAGAGAGGGACTGTGAATATTTAATTACTATTTGCTGTTTAAAATATCATGTTAAATAGTTCAGTAGAGACATAACACCTGTACTTTGGACTGCTTACAGAAGCATGGAGCAGATAAGGTGTTGATGTACATAACATGAGATAATGCTATCTCATGTACATTGGAGTTTGGTCCGTTACGCAACTTTGAAACCATACGCTTGCTTCTCACATAGTCATGCTTCCCAGAATCTATGCTTACCTAATCATTTACAGTGTATATAAGGAGTCACCCTGTGATTGTACGACAGACTTCTGCTAGAGCCAGACGGGAAGCTGCGTTGTGCTTGATCAGAATACGCTCAAACCTTCTGATAATAAAAACTCTATTTTGCAGTTTTGTCGAAGTCTCTTTTGTCTTACGTCTGGGATCTTTCACAATTGCAATGTACATGATACCTGTCGTAACATGAACAAAATATGTAGACGCAGAAATAAAGTCCCAGATTAGCCAACTGATGCTGAACAGTTGAGCAAACTGTTTTATATTTGGAAAACTCTTTTAGGTCTATATTTAACTCAGTGAAAAGGAAGAAGAAAGGGCCAACATGTTAAGAATAAATATATTTCACTGTGTGTACATGTTTAAATGTCTAAATATGTCTGTAGATGTATGATGGAAATTAAGAATGCATGACAGACAAAACAGTTACAGTATTTGTACAGAGCCACTTTCATGATTATGGCTCAATGATTCAAAGATAACCATTAATTAATCTAATCAGTATCATCTTAACCAGTTAGCCCCAAATAAAACATTTTATCTTCAAGGTATGGGATGTTACGAGTCAAACAATGGGGAAAATTGACAAAGCTGGAGCAGGCTGTTGGCTCCCGTGTGAGTCTTCTCGTGCCGTTTTAGAGTTCCTGTGGAGAAGAACTTTGCGTCGCAGGTGGAACAGCTGTAAGTTGGCTTGTCCTCGCTGTGGCTCTTCATGTGTTTGTTCATGTTGGAGTTGGATATAAAGCGTGCGTCGCAGATCGGGCAGCTGTATGGCTTTTCCCCCGTGTGGTTTCTCGTGTGGATCTTCAGAGACGACTTTGTACTGAAGCGGCTGTCGCAGAAGGTGCAGATGTATGGCTTCTCGTAGTCCCCGATGTGGCACTTCATGTGTTTGTTCAGATCAGAGCTCGAGGTGAAGCAGGCCTTGCACATCGGACAACAGTACGGCTTCTCCCCGGTGTGGCTCCGCTTGTGGATGATGAGATTGGAGTTTGTGCTGAAGCACGCGCTGCAGAGAGAACAGCTGTAAGGTTTCTCCCCCGTGTGGGACCTCATGTGAACTTTGAGGCCATAGCTCATGCCGAACCGTGCGTCACAAATGGAACAGCTGTAAGGTTTCTCCCCATGCGTTTTCATGTGGATTTTGAGATCAGATCTGACAGTGAACTGCTCGTTGCAGACAGAGCAGCTGTACGGTTTCTCGCCTCTGTGTTTTCTCATGTGATTGGTCAGTCTGGAGGCATTAGCAAAACCCTTCTGACAGATTGAACAGCAATTCTGTTTTTTTATGATGTGTGTTTTCAAATGCGCTTTGAGATTACTTTTTTGGTTAAATGTTTTGTCACAGTCTGGACAGTTGTAAGGTTTCTCACCTGTGTGTGTTCTCATGTGAATTTTCAGGACAGAGGAGTTACTAAAGCCCTTCTGACAGATAGAGCAGCTGTATTGTTTTTCACCGGTGTGTGTTCTCATGTGTTCTTTGAGACTGGCCTTTCGGGCATACGCTTTCGAACAGATTGTACAACTATGCATTGTCTCTCCTGTGTGGACTGTAATGTGCATTTTTAAGTAATTCTTAGGAAATCTCTTTGAGCAAAAAGGGCAGGGTGTCTTTCCATCAGATTCTTCAGCCGTTCCTGCATCGTCCTCAGTGGCGTCAGGGTTTTCTCCATCTCTACAGGATTCGTCATCATCAAAGTCAGAGTTGTCTCCATCAGTTTCAGACTGTATGGTCTTCAAACTTGCAGAACAGGAGCCTGCTGCAGATCTGGGAAAGATAAAAACACAAGGTATATATACAGCTTTTTGTAAAAGAGACCATAAACCGTGCTCATTCTCAACGTTCATACTAAACACGCTGCTGTACATGTACAACACTTACTGCTGATCTCCCGCTGGTTTGATGCTCCGCTCTGCTGGCTCCTCTTTGATCCGGGCTCTATCTGGGATTCTTTTTTGTTCAAGCAGTGACGACTCACGTGGGTTCACGCAGTCAGACCTTAAGAAAATAGAATTAAAAACATGATTGTCAGTTGCTGTTTTTTTGTCTTCTTTTAAATAGTCGTTTACAGTATGCAGATTCACCAACTCTGTGTGGACGAGAGACAAAGTACATTTCGTGACACAACTGAAAAAGCTTGGGCAGTACATAACTATCATTATGGACATTTGTTTTACTCAATATTTGCTGTGGCTATAGATTTGAGAAAAACAGACATTATTTCACACGCCACAATAAAGTCAGCCGTTTCAGTATTGTATTTCAGCTGAATGACACTGATACATTTTGCGCATGTGTGTTTCCTCACTGTTGCAGCTGCTCTCTTGTCTCCTGCTTCACACTGTGTTCTTCTGCCATATTCAGAGTCCGCTGTGTGGCTGTGGTCTGGATCACACTCACACAAGAGCTCTGCAGACCTGCACCAGACAAGAAAGAGGACACATGATGAAAACATACCACTGATCTACCTTTGTGAGCAATTTTATGTCAAAACACTAGACTCTCAGAGGTTACATTAACTGAAAATTCTCCGTCATTGACGGATTTTTTTTTTTTCTGACGTAAAATTTGGAAGGCCGTCCGTCATTTTGAGTCGTAGTTGACCGTCCTCTCCACTAGATGGCGCCAGCGCCGTTTATATGATACAGGCTGTCACATGTCATATTTGACAGATAGCAGTCATTAGCAAAAATGTCAAATCAGTTGAGCCTAAAAGATTTTTTTCAGCGATCTGCTTCAGCTCAAAATAAGGACAGCAGGGGACAAAAAAGACCCCCTTCATTTGAGGAGGACAATGAAGACACCATTCAACATCCGTCGGTTTCACCCCCTCGTCCACCGGACCGAGGCGCCAAGGAAACCCGAAGGGAGTATCGGTCACAGTGGGAGCAAGAGTTCACATGGCTAACCATGAAAGATGGAAAAATGTATTGTCAAATTTGCCAAGAAGCTAAAATGAGCAACGGCTTTGTCCGTGGTTGTCCCACTTTTCAAAAATCATCATTAAATGACCACAAGAAAAGCTTAAGCCATAAGGAAGCATCTCGTATTTTGAACCAAAGTGTAGCTATGGAGAAGCATGTGTCGCAGTCACAGGCAGCTTGTAACGAGGCTCTGAAAACCCAACTGAAAGTTGTACTTCACATGGCGAACACCAATACACCAAGCCACCTTTACCCAAAAATAATAGAACTATTACAATCCACTGGCTGCCCAAACTTAAACGCTGCACACGTGTACACTCACAACCAAAGTGTGAACGAAATGGAGGATGCGATAGCTCAGACCATAAACAACACTGTTAATGACCGCATCGCTGACAGCAGATTCGTTGGCATAATACTGGATGAAACCACGAATATCACAGTGGACAAAATGCTGATAATCTACCTAACATACCAACTAAAGGGAGAGCCTGAAACTAATTTCCTTGGAAATTATGCTGAGGGCAATTGTTGAGGGCTTTCGAGAGGGCATCTTCTGTGGTCATCGGCTCACTCACGTGGATGAACACGGCTTCTCCGCCTTACGAGCGCAGTATATTGGTGAGATTATGAAGTCAATTAAAAAGAGATTCCCTTCTGGGGATGTGAGCCACATTTCTGACCTCGACACTGTCCTCAACGCCTCTCGTTTTCCGAACACGAACAGCGCGCTGCAGGAGTACGGCTTGGATGCTGTCGAGCGCCTTGCTGACTTTTATGGCGCGCACCCAAACGCAGCGGTCTCACTCGTTGAAAAGGAAAGGATGGTACGGGACTTTCGCTCCGTGAAACGTGTGCTTGCAGGTTCAGGTAACCCGCCATTTAAGGACTCCTGTAAGCTTCTCATCAACACATACGCGGAGATGTTCCCAGACTACAAAACTCTGGCCGAAGTAGCGCTTGTTATTCCAGTGTCAAGTGTCGCTGCTGAGCGCGGCTTCAGTCTCCAAAATAAAATCAAAACTGCACTTCGAAGCCGTCTGACCGAGACAAAAACACAAACTCTAATGACAATCGCCTCGGTGTCGCCAGCCCTGCACACATTCAATTATGAACAGGCGAGTGCTCAGTTTAAGTCCACAAAGCCGCGAAAGAAGGTTTAATAACCGCATTCAGGCAAACTCCATACGTGTTTGTTCCACATGTTAATGCAGGTTAAATGTTACGCAGAGTTGTCGATTGTTTTGCGATTTTTATGCAACTTTATATAATCACAAATTAAATGTATTGTACATTTGTAAACGAACAGCTAATAAAGCACGTTATAAAGCCTGTTTTTGTTTATAAAATTGTTTAATTAATAGCCTATAGGGTATTTCAAACGTGAAAATAAAATGACGGATAAAAATAGCTCATGACGGATTTTTTTGGACCCTGTCCTTCATTATGACGGGCTGAAATGATCTCTAGCAAAACCACTGCTACAGACCTAACTTTGAAATCACAAAACAAAAAAACTCTTTAAAAAATGGTGGCCTTTTTCTCTCAGACCTAAGATGTAATTTAGGGCAGAGCCTGGTTAGTGCTGTGATGGGAGACTCCATACACGGTGGTGATTAACTACTACTGTAGCCACAGCTGCCCTGGGGCACAATGACGGAATATGACATGCAGAAGCCCGTTTTATTTGTATTTGAAATGGTTCTTAAATAATGTCATCAAAACAGGGAACACAATACACAACAAATATGTTGTTTGTTGTCAATAATAATAATGATAAAACTATAATCCAGGAGGTGAATGACAAATCGAAACAGCCAATCAGCACGAGTCCAGAGTCCAGTGTATGTCTATTGTATAGTCCCGCATCCACCACAGCTATAATGGAGCTATACTATTTTACTTCTTTTGTGAGAAACTAAAATTGTTAGGATCATGTCAACTTGGAGAAAATGCGTTTTTGGTGTAAATATGAGAAGGAAGAATGTGGCTAAACTTTTTTTTACGGGGTACTGCCTCTGTTTGAATTAATCTGTTTATCTGTGACACTTGACTGTTCCAGATTTACAGGAACTGGATTTACGTAAAAGCTGATATGGAAACCAGTGTTATTCCCACAATAAAAAAAAACTTTAACACAAAGCCTAAATCTGTAAGTACAATGCTACTAACTCACAGTATACCTCTGTCAACTAAAAAATTAGGGTCTGATTCTGGATCGAGGACATAGGGCTTGATGTGGCGGTTTGCCATTGTTGGAAAATGTTTATTCTCAGGTCTATGACTATGTCCTGGAGATAAACAACTCGCAGCGTCCCCACACGAGCAGGGGGAGGCGGGCTCACGGGCAGAGAAGCAGACTCCTCTCTGATCAGCCTGTTTGAGTTGAGGTGACATAACCTCTATGCAAGAGATGGTTATAATCTCACATGTTTTGAGTGTTGTATGGTGTCACTCAAATTATTATCACACATATGCATAGGACGAACAGTGAAACATGAAGAGCAGCGCAACATGGAACCTTTAATAACTACCATACGAGTGAAAGAATAACGCCATTTGAGGTGTCAAAAAAAAAAAAACTGCTGTATAAATGTGATATTTTCTTTTATTATAACATAAATGCACTCTAACTTGTTTCTGGCTCTAAATCAGTTTGGATCTATCACAGGTTTTCATGTATTTTTGGCCAAAGAAATGATAAGATTTGACAAAGAGAGGACCACCCTCAATCAGGTAATCAGGCTTAGAGAGGCAAATAGTGATTCACAGGGACTCTTGATAACATTGTATATTTAGCTTTGTTAATGATACTGTTTTCTCATACGGGGAAGACAGCATATTGTGGTACAACATTTTACTTGTACAAGACTCTTTCTGGGGAGAAAAATATTAAGTATTATGTATGAACAAATACAGTACCCCAGCTTTACTTCTTTGACTGAGAGTATTAAGATTATATACCACTAAATAACTGCTCGCAATGTTTAACAGAAGTTTAAAATAATACTAACTGACTAATACAATTCAACCTATGATTTAAAAATGTTACCAGGAGACACATTAGCATCCCACATTCTCTACTACATTATATGACACCATTATTATAGATCCATGTGACACCATGTTGTTTGTTGTCAATAATGTGATCCATGTGAGCGTCCGGAAGCCAACAATATGTTAAACATTTCTAGATATTTTATATTTTACAGCAATGTTTATTTGATTCAAAACCCTCGAATGTAACCAAATGAGCCTTCAATCAACAGGCCTGGGGCCTTTGGGAACCTCAAAGACTTAAAACGAAATAATAATAAAAAGGAAGTTTCGAGAAGTGTAGTTTGTTGGCACCAGTGATTAATATTGATAATGTTGCTTGTTCTAGTTGACAATTATAAAATAAGAGTTATCGGGTTTGTAAAAGAGAGTGTGTGGGCAAACGGAACTCGGGTTTTGCATCAGAAACTTTATAATAAAAGCAGGAATATAAACTCCAGCTGCGGCCTATGGTTCATCCCAACCCTGGAGCCTCACTTTACATCGGTGGCTGTGCTAGCAAACCCCGAAACTTAACAATCCCATTATTGCTATAATTATGAGTAGTGCAATAGTTTTAGGTTGGGCTCTATGGAGACTATTGTCCTAAGGTTTGGACAAAAGTGCGTTTGTATAAAAATAGGCAAAAATTAGCTGCGCGCGAAGCAAGGTGCTAAAGCTAATGCTAATGCTAATGCTATGCTAGCTAGCACCGCCGCTCACTGCAACATAATGGATTCAATAAAGGTTACCTTTAATGGATAAATCCATGTTTACAGCGTTCGTCAACGCAGAAATGTGCCTGATTGTAATTGTGGATCCAAACATAAACATTTACGGTGCTAGGGCCGTGTTTAGTGTCCGGGCTGTGCCGCCTACACCCGGAGCTCATCAGGCTTTACATTTGTTCATTACAGGGATATAAAACAGTAACCTGCCTTTTATCAGAACTAATTACCGAGTGTCTACATCAAAAGTATTAACCCGTTACAAAACTCTCCCTTGAAACAGCTCAGCGAGAACGCAATAATAAACACGAATGGTACTTTATTATTAAAGACACTTATAACCAAAGTTATAAGTTATATGTTACAAAGTAGGTTAATATTTGATGTTTATACATTTGTTAAACAAAGCTTAAATGTCCCATATTTTTGCCTCCTTCAAGTTTCCCAGTCCATCCCACTCAAAACTTGTGAAATTAATGCCATTTCTTGCCAGAGGTGATGTCACCTCAAGTTATGGCTGGTTCAATCTTTTTAGACTCAAATGCGTTATTATAATAGATCCATGCTCAAACGTCACACTGTATAGAAGAGGAAAAGGTCAAAATCATAGTGAACCACATGAACAGTGTTAGATGTGACACACAGACGTACGTGATGTGAGATGTGGAGCAGGATCAGGACTGTTTTATTGTTGGTGTGGCCCATGCTTTTGATTATGTCTCACAAGAATATTTATGGGGCATTTTGTCTAAATACAGATTTCAAAATTATTTTATAAATATGATTTAGCGTCTCTATTTAATGAGTTAATGAGCTTACGGAGTTGACAACGAGGTAGTCAAGTTAGTATTAGCGCCACCAGCTGGACCGAGCAATGTACTACCGCGCATTTGGTTTGGCACGGTTGAGAGAGTAAACCCTTGAGACTGCGGGTCGTCTTCACTCCCCTGTGGCGACGATCCAGGCCACTTGGCCTTGTTCGTTTGTAAAAACCTATGTGACCGTGCCATTAGGCCGCTGATATTATTAATATTAGCGGCCATTTTCTTTTTCTTCTCACATTTGAATGTTTTACTATTTTATTGTATTGTTTAAGTATCCCGTTTGTCCTCTGGAGGAGCCCTCTGCACTTGGAGTTGTGGTCTGCTGTTGCTGTGGGAGTCTGGCTCTTGGATCGAGTGTGGGTCTGGGGCCTCCTCTCTCCTCTGGATCCTATGGGGTCTGACTCCTGGACCTTGTGGAGGTTTTGGGCCTCCTCTCTCCTCTGGATCCTATGTCGTCCCCTGTGGCTGCAGGCGGCTCTCTGCTCCTGGAGCAGATGTCTCCTTGAATGGTGCTTCTGCAGCTGGAGTACACATGTGGTTTTGGGTGGGTCTGTTGGGTTAATGGATCATGGGCATACGGGATTATTTTTACTTAAACTGTAAGGCACTTTCTGTTGCATATTCTGTATGAAAATAACTTTATAAATGATGTTTGATGATGATGTAAGGCTTAACACTTAATGAATAAGTCTCAACCATTATCACGTAAAATGCATCTTGTGATTAAATATTTCAAAACCAAACATACAAAAAGTTAACTTATTTAAATCCACCAATGTCCACCCTCTCAGGCAGAAGACGCCACAGGACCTGTCCCATTGTGGATAAATGATGCATGCGTCCAAATTAATTGTGTTATGAATATATCTGAACGTTGTTGAGATAGATTGTTTGCAAATAAACCCCTGTAAACCAATCCCCTATCAGTGAAAAACTGTTTTGATGAAAAAACTTTGCCCTCACTGTATCCAGTGCAGTTCAGTACGATTGTGACCATTTGTGTCCATTTCATTCAGTACAATAGTGAGTGCAGCGTAACATCATTTCAGTGGTTTAAATCAGTGTTCTAAGTGGACCCTGGCCTGTTAGCACGTCTTGAGATGTTATTTGATAAAATAATGTGAAAAGAAAAGAAAAAGAGAAGATTTAGAAGGTCTTTTATTCGTCCCACAGTGGAGAGATTTCTGCTTGATGAACACAAACACACATTTAAACATTAGGGCATGCTGCGAACATTACTTCTGCGCTCCTTATAGGCAAAGTGGGAACGTGTCTTGCCCAAAGACACAACAGCATGCAGCAGACATCAGTGCTGGGGTTGAACCCACAACCTTTGGGCTCTTAGGCCAATGCTCTACCAACCGAGCCACCATTTTAAAGGCTTCATTTTCTTACTTCATATAAAAAACATATTGAAGGTAATCTAAAGTAAAGCATGAAACAAAATATTACTGGCAAACTTTTTATTTATTATTTTTATTTTTACAATTGAAGCTAACTTGTAAAGGTTTTTGTGTTTCTGTATGTGGTATAAAACCTGTGGTAAACACCCTGTGCATTTAACAACAACCACATCCAGATATCCCTACTGTTTTGTGAGCTTCCTATTTTCTTTTCTTAACTCATTCACTGCCCATGACGACAAAACTCGTCATGTTGAATAGTAACGCTCACTGCCCATGACGAGTTTGACGAGTTTTTCGTGTTATTACACGGGAGGCTACAGTAATGTCTGGCGCACCTTGTGAATGACCCACAATACTGATATATAGTGCAAATGTACCTGTAATGATAAATCACCACCAGTAGGATGCAGTATTGCGCCACAGGAGAGGTCATAAGTCAGTGGAGAGAAGGAGGAGGAGTGTGGGAGTGTTTGGAGAGCGTGCTGCTGTAGCAGAGCGATGATAGCGTAGCATTGAGACGGATCAGATCTAGTTTAGCGATAGTATAGCAAGAGTGATGGCGAAAAAGAATAGTTATAAGCAGTATACACTGCTTCAGAGATTGACTCGCGGATCAGTGAGTGGGGTCGAGAGGGGAGAGAGTGGAGACCCCGGTGGAGGTCCGTCTCTGCAGCTACATTTGCGCGGAGCAAGAGCAGGGACACACCTTCCGCCTCTCGCAGCGTATCAGCTGCTGTTGTTACTGATGCCTCGGATTCGTTCAGAGAACCTGATCATGATTTATCGGACACACTCACAAACACTCACACGCACTCACTCACTCACTCACGCACACAGACACTCACTCACACTGACATTCACACACACAGACACAGACACTCACTCACAGACACTCACTCGCACACTGACAGTCACACACACACACACACTCAAATTCACATGCTTCATTCTATTTTATACATCTATAGTTTTATTGATCTTTGTGTTGTTGTTGTTTGACGTTTTGGTTGATGGTATAGAAGAAAGTTAAATTTTCTATCTGTGAATAAATTGCCAACAATTTGCCATCAAAAGTATTATTTCAGAGTCATGTTTTTATAATTTTTGTAATGGAACAAGTGTGGAGATGTTTTGAGTTGTCACTAAAGCAGCAAAAATGCATCTAAAGTCTCTTTTCTGCTTGATATGTTCCTGTTTACATGCAGCTCGTTTCCTCTGTTTTCTTGCTCAGACCAGGTGTTATGGGTGAAAGTATGCTTTGTTCTATGGCAAATAACGCAAGAACGGTAAGAGGTAGAAACAAACTGTTTTTTTCAGAGTAAAGCAGAGAGGTGAATCTTTAATTTGGTGCCCTTGGTGTTTACATCGTCTAAAAAATGAATATTCTGTGGCACTTCAAAGTTGGGTCAAATCACCTGAAATTGCTGGCAGAATGCACTTCTCAAATCTGAAAATGCCTGGCAGTCAGTGAGTTAATATTTACAGTCTCTGGCTCCAACCCTTCATAGAGAAACCCGGACTGAGGCCTGACCAATCAGCGGTGAGGAACAGCGCAGCTCGCATGAGGCAGTATAAATCAAGCGGACAGAGCCTTATTCTAAAACCAGTTCGCATAGTTCCCATGTGACATCAGCGCTCCCGGTCTGGTGTTGCGTCCACCATTTTAAGATAAGATAAGATTAGATATTCTTTATTTATCTCACAAGGAGGAGAAATTTACATGTCACATTTGGCATGGATAGAAACACTCAAATTGAGCAAAAAAGGGAGGAAATTTGCAAACCTGTTAAATACAGGTTATATTATGTACATAAAAAAGTGGCAGTTTAAAAGTGGCAATCAGAAATAGTGTCAGTATTAGTGCAGGTTCTTCAGTCTTATACAGTGACTTATTGTACAGTCTGACAGCGGTGGGGATAAAGGCCCTGCGGTAGCTTCCTTCCTACACTGAGCTCCTCAGCTCCTCTACAGTCCTGTGTAGTGGGTGGGAGGTATTGTTCATGATGGAGGTGGCTTTGGCTAGCACCCTCCTGTCCCTCACCTCCTCCACAGAGTCCAGGGGGCAGCCCAGAGTGGAGCTGGCCCTCCTGACCAGCTTGCTCAGTCTGCTTCTGTCCCGCTCTGTGCTGCCCGGGGCCCAGCACACGGCAGCGTAGTAAATGGCAGAAGCTACCACAGAGTCATAAAAAGTCCTGAGCAGAGGCCTGCTCACTCCGAAGGACCTCAGCCTCCTCAGAAGGAAGAGGCGACTTTGGCCCTTCTTGTGCAGGGCGTTTGTATTATGGGACCAGTCCAGTTTATTGTTAATGTGAACTTATACGGCAAAGTACGCGGCTGTGGCTTTCATTGAGACTGGTAATTTTCAAACATATAGGCTCTTTTTTTAACCGAAATGGTTAGTTCGTGTTGGGTACCTGGATGTGCTAACAGAGCAAATGGGACTCCCAAGGATCCGAGTGCATGAGGGAGATTTCACTAAATCACCAAGTGAGGAACGCCGCCGGCTGTGGTTAGCCAGTGTCAATAGGAAGGATAAACCTACGAAATTCTCCAAAATCTGCTCAGATCAGGTCATCACAGGTAAAACAGTTGTATTCTCAACATATTATCAATGTAATCATGTTTTTGTTTACAAGTGTGCACGTAGCTTTAGTTTGTCCCATTTTAGCCTAGCTATTAATTCATTCATTCCGGACAGTTGGAGGAAGAGCCTCCGATATGTTTATCACAGAAGAGTGTGGAATATTGAGCAAGCTGTTACCAGGTGATCTGGTTTTAGCCGACCGTGGTTTTGACATTTCAGAAAGTGTTGG